ACTGCTTATTATGTTTCATTTGAGGAATTATCTCACGTAGAAGGTGAGTAACAAGAACAATTTAGAATTTTTTTTGGGGGGCATTGCTAACTGTGACTAGTTCTATAATCCAAAAATTATCTTAAGAATCCAGCACCACCATGGAATACACAGATTTTTCAAAAATTGAGTAACCTGATATGGCCGGATGTTTCTACAACATGAGAGACTCTTCCAGCAGTTCTACAGTGACAGGGCTGAACTGCCTCATGGTGTGAAATGGAAACATGGGGTGCAAATTGAAGGGAAGTGTGCCTCAAAAACAGGATACATTTGATATTAGGTATTCAAAGTAAAGCTCATTTCTTACCAACTCGCCCGCACAGCTTCGATGTCACTCACTAAGTTTTGGGCCAAACAAATTCCAAAGATCTGTGGATCAAAGAAAAAAAAAACACATACTTTTAAAACAGATGCATTATTTTTCTGGAACATTATAAAGGTTTCACATAGGAGTGGACCTGACCTGCAGTAGTGCGACCCCGATGAAGATGCCCGCCACCAGGGTCAGGTTGTCCTGCAGCCACTTCTCAAACTGAGGCACGCAGCCCTTCACGTTGATGTAGTCCTTCTGCTCCGAGTCCTGCGGGAACACACACTCATCATCGTACACTTTAGATCTGGCTATTTGTTCCCGCAGGTTAGAAACGTTCAATATACTGTAGTTTTATTTTTACTGTACCAAGTTTCTCACATATTTATATAATATTGTCTTTTTTTTTTTTAAATGTTTTAGAATAGTCTTTAAAATAGTTTTTTAAATAACTTACTACTTCCTTTAAAAAAAAAAAAAAAACATATTCTTCTTTCTGTGTCTCTGTATGCCCATTTACACCAAATTCCTTGTATGTGTAAACCTACTTCTGAAAAACAAATGAAGAATTTAACATTTGATAAAAACTCAGTCTTGATGAAAAGATAAATGTTGGTTTAAAAAAGAGAAAATATTCACATTCATCAGTCAAAGTTCAGACGTCTGCTACTACTCTTCATTTGAGAAAAATCTCAACACTATGGAAACTCTTGAATGGGAATGGAAGCAGTGTTTAGCCACATCTGCAGACTATGGTAATGGCCATGATGATAGAACACTATTAAACCTCCAATAAGATTAATTCAAATAATAATTAATGGATATCTGATTTTATATCTGTTTTTAATTTCTCACTAAATCAGGTCAGGCCATGTCTTTCCAACAACTAAATTAACATTAATCAGTTCTAAAATGTAACATCTGTCACATCGGATATTTTCCTACCCTTTCATTTCGAAGTGAAAATAATAATAATAGTTTTTAAATCAATAGCAAGATTTAGCATTAGCATGATTTTTGGACTATTAGCAGCTTTAAAAACACCTTCAGCCTTCCTTTAAAACCCATGTAACATCACTAGCACTAAATAGCTACATAATATCTATAAAAAGTGAACAAAAACTCCAACCGAGTCATAAATAAGAGAAGAGAATCTAAGAGAGAGGAAGAGTGAGTGAAGACTTACTGGTTTAGCTCGGATGTCGTATCCACACTGAGTGTTTATGACGTCCTCCTACAGACACAAAGAGCAGCTGTATATTAAAAACAGCCTTGTTATGTGACAAGCAATACAAAGACATGTTTATGTACAGGAAGGGTTCAAATTCAAAAAGGGAAATCTGAATTAGCTTGACCTAATGTGCTACGTAATTAAGTTCATTTACTCAAGTACTGTCCTTAAGTTTAAAATGTACCGGTAGGTACTTTTACTTGACTTGAGTATTTCCACATTATGCTACTTTATACTTTTTACTCCACTACATTTATTTTACAGATTTAGTCACTAGCTACTTTGCAGATTTAGATTTCTAATACAAAATACATATCAATTAATGCATTATTATAGGTCAAGCTAGCGACTAGTATATCAAGTCATTCAAATAAACCCCACTTTTACCAAGTGCAACGTTGAAATCATGGTCATGCATCAATAATTATGATAAAACAATTGTAAACATGTGGTGCTTAAATGAGCCATTCTGCATAACGAGTACTTTTACTTTTGGTACGTGAAGTATATTTTAATGCTACAACTATAACTAACATGTTCATGGAGAAGTGAAGAAATGAGGGTCTCGTACCGCGGGGTCCTTGGTGCAGCAGGAGAAGGGGACTCCACACTTTTCCCGGCTGGGATTCCCATCAGTACAGTTAAAGTAGATGTTGAGGTTCCAGTCGTCCGCTCCGAACGCACCGCAGCAGTCCCACTGAAGCAGAGCAGAGAACTGTTAGAGGCTTTATCTGAATTACAGGTTTCCTCTGTTGACCAACATGATCAAATACATTTTTTTTTAAATACTAGTACGAGTGGATCTGACTGGAAGTACAATAAGGATGATGTTGTGTTTAACTATAAATGAACATGCTGTTTTTCTAGCGTACGTATTCCTGGGTGAAATCGATGAGGTTCTGTAGATCGATGTCGTCGCGGTACGCCCGGATGTTGTTGTTGATGAACAGGTTGAGCTGGTCTTTAATCCAGTCCTTGAAGACAAACGCCAGGATCCCCGTCGTCAACTCCAAGAAAAAGATGATTCCCAGAAACACGGAGAACTACAGCGGTCAGAAAGACAAACAGTGGGTGAGTTTCTCCATCAGTCATCCCATCAGCGTGCAGAATGGACGTCTTGTCATGGAACGTACAAACTTCAGTAGAAAGGTGTTCTCCCGCAGTGCTCCAATACATCCTGCAAAGCCCAGGATGAACATGATCCCCCCGACCACCATGAAGAGCCAGACTGGGTCTAGCCCCCCCAGGTCTGTGATGGACGAGATGTTGGACAGAACCCCCTGAGGACAGAGACAGAACCGGTCAGAGCCAGTCTCTGGAGGACTGAACATCTGCCAAGAGGGTCGCAGTGACATCACACAGGATGGAAGCACAAATAGAAACAGAAAAGGTTTTACCCTCTGATACACGCTGCACTCCGATTCATTTTAGACCCATTTAGAATACTAAACCAGATACCTAGGGACCAGAGTTTCCGTTAGAATTTTTTTTTGCCGGTCAACATCTCCGTTAAAGTTGAAATTTTCTGGACAAAATGAGAAAAGCGCCGGTCAAAGGCCTTCTTTGTTATTTATTGAGCTTTAAAACAAATTGATAACGACTCTATACAAACTAATTATAGTAGATCAACTACATTATTCAAAAGTGTACAGTAACTTTGGATAATAACAAAGGGATAGCCTCTTTTCCTCTTTCTCCCTCTCCTGACAGCCCGTCAGTATCTCATGCAGCTCGCTGATCCAGTAATGAGTGACCCGACAGTAAAGAATAAATATATGTATAGTTTAGCTAGTTCCAGAGGTAGATAAACTAGCTAAGTGTGTTAGGTCTAACTTAAAGTGTGTGTTTTGCTCCGCTCACCAGTCCGTCACAGCGGACAGAGCTGCAGGTGATCATAGAGCTGCATCATGTAGAGCTGTAGGTGATCATAGAGCTGCACCATGTAGAGCTGCAAATGATCATAGAGCTGCATCATTTAGAGCTGCATCATGTAGAGCTGCAAATGATCATAGAGCTGCATCATGTAGAGCTGCAGGTGATCATAGAGCTGCATCATGTAGAGCTGCAGGTGATCATAGAGCTGCATCATGTAGAGCTGCATAATGTAGAGCTACAGGTGATCATAGAGCTGCATCATGTAGAGCTGCAGGTGATCATGTAGAGCTGCAAGTGATCATGCAGAGCTGCGTGTCTCCGTCAGCAGCGGCTGAACTGATCTCTCTCTCCTGTCAGATTTTACTCGCGTTTATGTCCATATCGATCAGATCTAGCTAGTTCTGGCTAATGATATGACTGCCTGCTTATCAAAGGACACCTCCTAAACAATAAGCGTTGCTTGGCAACGGGGTGTGGTAAAAAGTATAGCGCAGCATTATGCAGGTCTGCTGTTAGCGCTGTTAGCTTCGGTAGCGGAGTTTGATGGCTGAAAAAACAATTAGCCTGCCTCTATTTTAACTCTAAATGCAACCATAATTTAAAACATGCTGTATTTGGAGAATACTTCCAATCAGGGTTAGGGATGCCAGCGATTATTCGATTTTTCGAATATTCGTTACAGTCTCCATAATCGAATTTTTTTGGTATCCCTGATAGAGTGGCGAAGTCCCTCCCCTTCCGGGGGAGCTCCATGGGACCTTATTTCGGAAAAATTATGTATTGAAGTCAATGGGGG